TACCTGAATATAACGAAAACCTGGTTATACCGAAAAAAATAGGTGGAACGGACCACTTCGTTATATCCAGGTTCACTGTGTATAATAAATTTTTCATTTAGCAATTGATCTTACAAATTTATTAAAAATATATTTTTTAATTTTAAATTAATTATTTCAACTTTTTAAGAGATTTGTAATTATAAATTTCGTTATAAGAATATTTTCATTAAAAAAACTAGTGTTTAATTATTAAAATTATTTATCAAAAATAGCAAATTCTAATTGCTTTTTAATAAATATAAGATTTAATTTTTCGAAGTCATAAGAGTTTGATAACGCGCGTTCATAAAAATTAGCGTGTCGATCGATTAGTAACTGTCACACCGAAGGTGATCCATAGTTCGGGTTGGAAAACTCGAGAGGTTTTGATGTCAACCTGACATTAAATTTAATCTACATAGTCGAACATCTACAGGTGGCTTTATTACGTTGAAGCATTTTCTGATAAAATTCTCTCACCAATACTGCGGGTTTGGCGGTTCTGGAGAAATGCAGTGGAAAAACGATGTATCTGTGCACATGTCATGAGCTTTAATTTATCGATACTCGGAGAAAAAAGCAAATCTAGACAAGCTTCTGCACAGCGTGAAACATTGAAATATTTTGATAGTGAGATCTTCTCGTCAAATTTTTTTGTCTCGTTCGCCTAACACGTACAAATTCAAAAAATTCTTAAAATTATTAAAGAATCTCTACAAAATGTCCAACACCGGCAACATCTCTGCCTCTGCACCAAACCACAAAACTTTTCTTGAGCATCCTTCCGCGCTAGAAGAAGCCAACAAAACATACAAACAAATTATTAGCAATTACCATAACCGCGCGCTCTACCCTAAAGTTAACCAACCGAATGATGAAGACTATGGAGTTTGTGTTTGTGAGTACCAGCCAGGTAATTATTTGATTTATTTTAATTGGCGCGTGCGAATGACTTGGTTAAATTGACAATGATACACGTCTGGTTGAAAAGTACTTTGAAATAATGTGTCGCTCGGAGAAAATTTGAGTTAATTATACGCCGTTAGCTTAATGTTCATAGATTATTCGAAAATATCGATCTCTAAAGGAAGAAAGAAATGACTCTTCGCGTAATATCAAAATTAATATAAAGCTGAGAACACAACTTTACTCGACCAATTTTCGCGACATTTGTGATGATAATTCAAATGCAATTAAATTATTACTTTGTTAGATCAGCTTCTGCATGAATTTTCTTTAACCTCTTTTTTTATCACTAAAGATGACCCAATTGATTATGCGTGCGGGTCCGAATGCATCAATCGCGTGCTGTTCATCGAGTGTACAGAAGATTGTCTCATTGGGAACTACTGTAGAAACAAAAGGTAAGACTCACGCTCTTTGTGAGATGTTTTGATTTTATATAACCTTTATTCCTTTAAATTGTGTTTGCTCAATTTGCTCCTGAGAAAATTTATTGTTATTTTCTTATAAATCGATTTTTTCATGTATGTTTCTTTGATTTATTAGATTCCAGAAAGCTGAGTATTCCGTTGTCGATGTATTTAAGACAGAATCAAAAGGATATGGATTGCGAGCAATGACGCCTATCAAAAAGTAAATATATTTAATCTAGGATTCAATTTTAAAGTCGAGTCTTCATTATAAAAAAGATCTTTTTGAACTTTTTGCCTCTTCTAATTTTTTTTCTGCCCTTTATAGAAACGACTTTATCATGGAATACATCGGGGAAATCGTCCCAAAGGAGGTCTTCTACCAACGTCAAACAGATTACGCGAAAAAGGGTATTGAGCACTTTTATTTTATGAGTCTTACTAATGGAGAGGTAGGCTTCATCGAATAAATTTTGTTATTACCTTAATAACTAGTTAAATTTGATCATCGCTTTTTTATATTTAAATCAAACAGCTTATTGATGCGACTAAGAAAGGCTGTATCGCGAGATTTATGAATCACTCTTGCAATCCGAACTGCTTCATCCAGAAATGGATTGTGAATAAAAGAACACGTATTGGAATCTTCGCTTTACGTGATATTGTATTAGGAGAAGAACTCACATTTGATTACAACACAGATAGAAAGGGGTAGGTTTTCACAAAGTCAATATGAATTTTTTACTATGTTCCAAGTACCTTCAAATGAGAATTTTCATATGTATTATTTTTACTAATGTTTAAATGTAATAACTACTAGAATGGCTGCCCAAAAATGTCACTGTGGTGAGGATAACTGCTGTGGATATCTTGGTGGTCAGAAAGGATCCGACGATGAATCAGATGATGAAGGTGAGGAAATAGGACCAATCCAAGACCCTGAAGATGTGCCCGAATTCATACGAACAATGATCCGCACACTACATAATCGAGATGAAGTGCTTGACATATTACATCGTCTTGAGGTATGTAAAAATTTTACTTTGTCTCCTCAATTTGAAGTCAATGTTAATCTTCACTTTTATTTCACGATCTTTTTTGACCTATAGATGACGGATGATAATGAAATTTTCAGCAAATTCAAGCATCTTCATGGATTGCTTGTGCTGAAAGCGTATTTAGTTGAATGGAGGCAAGATGATGAAATTGTTTTAAAGGTGTGTTTTACAATATTCTCAATGCATTTGTATATTTTTAAATTTGAACGATAACATTCCATTTACTTACTTCATTATTAATATTATCATTAGACCTTAGAGGTGTTGCCGAAACTACCAATCTTGGCTCGAAATACGATAACTGATGCTAAAATTGAAGAAAAAATGGAGATATTCAAAGAAAGATCTCCGCGAATGAAGGAGTTAGTGGATGCGGTAAGTTTTCTTTTCTATTATTCACTTTATCGTTACAGTCGAGTCATATTCTTTGCTAATAAATTATTTGGTTTATCATTTGTTTATTTAATAGCTCTTTGAAAAGTGGGGATCTCTTACTGTCCTACATAGATGTCCAAAAAAGACTGTACGTAATTACATTGCTGATTAAGAATTTCTTTAATCTGAATAATAATTTTAAATTTTGTTTTCCTACTTTTGTGTAATATAGAAGGAGCAACTCGAACAAGAACAAAAACTCTTAGAAGAGGAGGAAGCGCGTAAAGCAAAAGAGCTAGAGGAGGAAAAACGAAAGAAAGAAGAAGAAAAAAGAAAACGCGAGGAAGAAGAAGCACAAACTCGGAGAAAGTCTTACTACAACAATCGTAATCACAATTCTTCTAGATCTTACCCACATTACCAAGACAATCACCACCATACTTATAATAATGAACCAGAGCGAAGACCAAGATATGAATCGAGTCGGGACTTTTATGAATCTTACAGCGCCTACAAACCTTCTTTAACGAATGGTTCATATCGGTCATCGTTTAATAATGAACAAAGAACATTGACACTCACATCTCATGATCGATATCGACCTCCTCCAC